TTGGAAGCATTATTTTTAAAATTGGTATCTCAATTGGCAGTACCGTTTCTATCGGTATCCACGCAAATTATTTTAAAATTACTTAATTAAAAATGGGTATTTACCCCAAGAAAACGCGTCAGCCCGAGGCAATTTTTGCGTCATTCTGAATAATTTCTTCAAATACAAAAGTTCGCAAGCAGTGAAAGAAAAAACCCTTGCAAGAAATCAACATTCTCGCAGTTTAGTGATGTTTTGTGATTCCCTGCATACAGGAAAAGTAAGTAGAAATATTTTTTTCAAAGAAGATATTTCTGATTCACCAATATCGTCTTCAGAAGAAAAAACAAGTATTTCGAAAAAAAAAAGTGCCCAAAAGTAGAACGCCATGCGGGAGCAACAATCAGAGTTTAAAGGATGGTTGGAGCCCCAAAAAAAAGGACCCACTTTTGCTCATTGCAAGGCGTGCAACAAAGATTTTATTTGTGGTAAATCCGAAATTGTAAAGCAATCAAAAGGACAATTGCATTGTAAATTAGCCATATCTGTTCAAAAACAGCAATCTTTACTTGAAATGTCTAGTTTTACAAAAAAAAAAGCTTTAGAAACTAAAATAAAAACTGTAAAAATTAGAATAGCTGCAATTGCAGATGAACATAATATTGTTTATAATGCTTTAGATCATTTATCTGAAATTATTAGAACTACATAGTTTCACAGATTCTGAAACTGCAAAAAAATTTAACAATAATCGAAAAAAAAACAACTGCCATAGTAAACAATGGATCATTTTTTTTATACCATCACTACATTGGTTTGTTAAAGAAAAACTGTGATTGTTTACATGAATGCCTCTTCTTACGTCAGGTAAGGGAAAGTGTTGTGAAAGAGTTTTATAATGTAAATTTGTAGGATGTCAGACACAAAGAAAGGAAGCGCCAAAACCACGCGCCAACAGTATTGTTTGTTTTTAGAAGAACTGCAAACGAATAAAGATTTTAGAAATAATAAGTATAACCCTGAGAAGTAAACGTGCAGTTTAGGGCCCTATTAATGAGCATGCGCGTCCCCGATCTACGGAGCCAGTGTTCCCAACTGTACCATAATTATGGCATTTGTATCATATTTTACCGCCTTATACTATACACTATGTGCACATTTTCGATCTCTGTGCTTCTGGCAATACCTTCATGAAAACAATATAAACATGGTTATGAACTAAAACATGTTTTTATAAATGTTTGCAGTGTTTGCAATTTTCTCGACTCAGTTGATATTTTTTACAAGCCATTAATTGTAAGGTGAGTATATTAATTACAGAGAAGATGAAGAATTAGAATGTGTTACAAATGTGGCTTAATAATGTGTTAGATGAGGTTGATATTATTGTTTATTTTGGATTTATCCCAATCAATTTTGAACACAAGACCAAGGGAAACGAAGGAAAGGGAAGAAAATTATTTAAAGCTGGTCATGTGACCAATTTAAAAGAATGCTGGAGTGAAATTAGAGCTTGTGTTATTAGGCAAACAAATGTATCGCAAAAACCATACAAAGTGACTCTGAAGGTAATGAAATAACACAACCACACCAAATACCTGATAATTAATTGCGGGAATGTTGCAGTTGACAAGCAGAAGAGAGGTTTCTTCAGCTAGATGTGAATGCAGCGCAGGTATAACAAGGTCATGTAAGCATATTTCGGCTGTTGTATTTGCGGTAAATGAAGAAGATAGCACAACCAAAACATCTTTACCTTGCGAATGGAATAAGCCAAGCTCATCAAAAGTGGTGCAAATGAAATACGGAAAATGCAAGAGGTTTGCTGAAATGTTTCCTTTTCCTAAAAATCATACTCGCAAGAACATACAAGAATATTCAAAAAGAGATCTTCTTTACAATGTCTCTAATATTCCCTGCATGCTGAAGACAATGCTTTTGTCATAAATGAAACCGTCTTCAAATGAAGGTCAAAGGTGGTATAAAAATAGAGGAAATAAGCTCAATCATCATGGCTCTGCAATTTTTACAATGTGATACCACACTATTTTAGTGGGTAGGTTTTGGCTTTGTGTTTTCAGGGATCAAGGTGAAATGGACAATTCGTTAAAAGAAAAGTGGAAAATTCTTGTTGAACGACACGCCTCCTCTGATGTATTAATTGCATTAAGTGAGTCATGGATGGAGGCACGGAAATATCGAATAACAACGTCGAGGTGTTATGGTCTACGCAGGTCTTCCAAATTTGACTGGAAAGAAAGAATTCAAAAGTATTTTTCGCCTACACCTTTTCAAAACGCCTTCACAGCGCATGGAATGCAGTGGGAAGCGGAAGCACGAAGAGTATACTCAAAGTAAGAAATGTATATTATACTAACCAACATTGAACACCGAACATGAAGGTGGGTGACAGTGACTTTGCTACTTCAGGGGATATTTCACTTTGTAAATGGAAAGACAGAGGAAAGAAATCTGTAATTATTGTCAATTCTTTCATGCTCCAGTTGTTTTGTCAACTGTGGTCAGAAAAAATAAAGAAGGTAAAAAAGACTACAATCAGTATATGGGGGGAGTCGACAAATTTGACCAAACCTTGACATACGACAATGTCATATGGAAGAGCCGCCGTTGGTGGATGAGAATATTTTATTACTTACTAGATGCGGTGATTGTGAACAGTTTTGTCTGTCATAAATTTGAAGCTGACAAATCCAGAAAAAAAGGAATGAGTCAACTTTCCTTTCAAAGTGCAGTAGCCGATCAGCTAATAAAAGACTTCAGTTCTCGACAAAAACAAAGACCTAGAGTCGTAATTATTAGTACAAAAATGAAAAAACCTTCAGGGCGTGCAGTGGGGATAGACAACTCGGTGAGGCTTGCAAACGTAGGAGTCCATTTGCCTAGAAAGGGAACTGTCCGAAGATGTGCTGGGTGTAGCACAAGAGCAAAACCGGTACGTTCGACATCATGACAAGAATGTGGTGTCGCATTATGCATAGAATGTTTTATTCCATTCCATAAATAAATTTTAAGTTAATTATAGACTTACATACTTAATTTTTAAACCATTTTCCCAGTTAAAATAAATAAAATATGATGTTACTCTGATGTGGTCAAATTTTTAACCACAACTCAGAGACACTTTTCTCCTACAAAAAAGTTCTGTGGTCAATATATTGATATATTTCAAGAAATCAAAAAAGGAAAGCCAAATTTGTGGCGAATGTCACAAATATAAGTGCAAAAACCATGCTGATATCAAAACATTATGTTCCAATTGTGTTAATAGGTAAGATCTAAAACATGGTCGTCAGTTTTTTTTTCTTGTAATGCTATGTTTTTTATTGCAGGGATAACCCTTAGATATCAGAGATGCGGAAAATAAAGGATTTATATTATTTTGAAAAATCTAAACGACAATTAGTTCACACAAGAATGAAAGGTGTTTTTCCCTGTTTATGTTTTTTAATTATCAGAAGATGTGTTATTTTTAAATTTATCTTTACTTTTAAAAATGTCAATTAATAGAGTAAAATATCCTTTAAAAATAAACGTGTGTAATTTCTGTCTTTAAATATAAAAAAAAATAGGGTCAAATCTGACCCTACCATGTTGGGAGTGTTAAAATATTTCACCATGTAGTTACGGGTTAATCTTGTAAAAACTTGTGAAATTTAAAGGTAACGAGTTAAATTCCTAAATCCACCCGAAATGTGCAAAATATCATGAGTTTTTACTTGTGAGTTATCATTGCATTCATATTTTTAGATTTGCTTATACAGGTGACTCAAAAAAATTAATGAATGTATCAATTTATTTTATTGATTAAATCAGGAACGGCTCACTCCATTTTCACAGAAAATTTTGGGAATACAAAACTGTTATTTTTAGAATTACAGTGCACCAATCGAAGTTGATATAAGTGTCTTTGCAAAAATGTTGATCACCTCATCACAAAATTCTGCAAAGTAAAAACCCAACTCAAAAATGCTGGATTTGTTTCAGTGAACTTTAGGTGCGAGGAAAGTTCTGTCGAAACAGATTTCGACCAATTTTCTTCCATATTGTAGACAAAGTACTCCTTGGGATTCCGTATTTTTTTGTAACTACACCTTTTTTGCCGCCTTTTAATATATCATTAATTATATTGCTCTCTTGGCGTAGATTTAGCGTACAAAGTTTTCTTTTCGGCATTGTGCTGCCAACTGAAACAATTTCATTTAAATTTGCCCAAGTCTGCAAGAAGTAGAACCAATATTGTTTTGTCTGCTCAATAAAACTATAGATATTATTCTACAACTTTGTATGTGTGTAACATTATACCTGAAAATTCTATTCGACTCAAAGAAAGTAATTTATATTGGTTCTGATAAGGCACGTCTACAGATTTGTGTTCGAGTTGGAGATAGTTCGACTTGGGATTTTCGAGTTTGAAAGTAATTTTTACATGTAAGTGCTACTACTATTCAAAAAATTCGACTTGGAGAAAAATTCTACTAAGAGGAAGGCCGACTGTATTATTGTTTTTTAATGTATTTTATTATAGAATTGTTTTGTTTTTGTAAGTTCCAAAATAAATAATTTACATTGGGAATTAGTTTTATTTCAAGCAAAAATTTAGGAAGAAACGTTATTTTTATTTCTAAATGTTGGCGACTTTTGACGACTTCGGATTGGAAGTCTGGCGACATCAAAGTCTAGAAACCTGACAGTCCTGTAAACGTCTGATTCAGATTGTAGTTAATTTGTTTATAGAAGTTATAGTTGTTTAAAAACATGGCGAATCGTTGCCCACATTATCATGCATGTTTTATTATTATTTTAATTTTATATTTTATCCTCAACCGAGCACGTTAAACTACGGTTTTAAATCTCCAAGTACATTATTTATACATCATTTTCAGTTAAATTCCTGAGTTTGAATGAACACTCGTTCAAAATAGGCAAGTCTCCTCTACATGCCTTACGATTTTTTATACATATATCATGAATGTATGAATAACTTACGGGATATAACTTACCTGAAACTGTGAAAAATGATGCAATTCTTGAAAGCGGCACGAACAAGGCACAAAGAGTCATTGTCACCACGATTTAACATTTCTGAAGTATCAACGGACGTTGAATATCATAACGAAATTAGAACGACACAACGACAAAATGCAAATGTTGCACATCTTGTTAAACAAAAGTGTTAAGTGTTAATTAAAATTTGAAAGTTCTAAATCCACGAACCGGTACACAGCTTAACAACGCTTACAACATAAACCGAAAGAACACCTGATCATAACCATAACCACAATCGTAACTTCGCAAATACAAACTACTTTTTTAGTTTGGACATGCGCAAATGGCGTAGCCAACCTCGGGTGTGGTAAGTAGCGTCAACTGCCTAATACATAGAGTCCAATATTATGCAATATTAATTATTTTAACAATAAATAATTCAAGAAAAACAGTGACTCGCCTTGTCATAAATATAATATGCTACCACACCGAGGTTTTTTATTGTTTTACTATTATACAAGTCTGAATTGTTGGTTGCATACTTCCCCTAATTGAATTTTATAGGTACTAGGGACCTTAGATCATATAATAAATAGATACCAATACTCAAACTGAAAGTTGTGACTAGACATGAAGCTATTTGTTGTCGTTTTCTACGTCAAGGGTAGTAGTATAATGCTGTCCTTGTGTGATCACCACCTCTTCATCTTTGTTATATGCATTTCATCTGTATATGTCTATTTCACTTCCATCCTTGTACCGCACCAGCGCAACAAATCGCTTTTGACAGATGTTTCTTCTAACCTCTCTTTTGAGTTGTTGTACAAAAAACAATTTTAGAATTTAGAACAAAGATCCTATTTTAAGTGATGTAGTCATAAAGGATCACAATTGCTGCCCAATAATTTACTATTCCTTTTGTTATCTACTGTGAATTATTTATAAAATCAAGCTGTCAACATCTTTCTTCCGAAGTTAGTTCAGACATACTTCCTAAAATTTAGGCGCGCAAAATTCAAATAGTGATCAGGCAAGGATAGCTTCATTGTAATCCCTCCATGCACGAGAGAGATGTGTGACAGGAGGATGTCGTCACAGGCTGTCCTAGGGAAAGAACACGGCATGGTGGTATCTATTTATTATATGATCTAAGCTAGGGACCTACCTATTCATGTGAATTTTTCAGCTTTTACTACTGCGTACTCTATTTAATTTTTTTTTTTTTTCATTTATGACACTCCTAAACTGACACAGCGACTTTTGCACCCTCTAAATCCAGGACTGTATCTAAATTTTTTAATGATATGGACGCCACCATCCAACAAATTATTTTAATCAAAATACATAGGTATGAAGTCCAGGACAGGGATCCCGTTTCCGTCTACTGGTGTCTGACGTCTGTCCAGATTTATTATTATTAATATTATTATTATTAATGATATTATAGTTCGATCGGGCAGAGGGAAATCCGAGGGGTAAACCGCCGACCATCAAGTGTACAATTGATTTCCTTTTGACAATGATTTCCCCCGATTTCTTTTGATTTCCTCTGATTTCCTATGATTTCCTGTGATTTCCTCTTGATTTCCTATTATTTCCTTTTGATTTCCTCAAAATTTGTTTACATAATGTACTACAGGGCAATTGTAAACTTTTTTTTAATTTGACTTTTTTGTTTTGCCGATAATAATGTTGAATTTAAACCTTTTTTTTACCAAGTGTTTACTAACGTACGGTGACTAGGTAAGCTGGAGTGCTTTCTCTTTAGACGAAAAAAAACAAATAAATAAAATGTATTGTGCTGCTAAGCAACAAACTGAAATGTTTAAGAAAAAAAATCTGATTTTACTTACAAAAAGAACGCTACTCTGAAATCGAGGTTTTAAATGTCTAAATCAATAGAGTAAGTATACGTTCGAATTTTACACTTTCTTGGGTCAAATGTTTGTTCTAAAAGTGGACATATGCAATATTCTAGATTTTTTGCACATTCAGTCAGAAAATCTTATGGTCTATTTTAATTTTGAAATTAAAAATGTCTGGTGTGTACAAATTAGTTCGTTTAAATCACCCAAATATTTAATAAATTATATTATATATTATTATTAATTTTTTAATAAATTATATTATGAAATTTTGCTTTTGACTTTACGAAATTAAAAGTACATAAGGCCAAGGATATTTTTAATTATGTCAGCAGTTACTACTTATCAGTGACTCATACTCATAAGGCAACAACGACTGGCTCATACGTTCACAGAGGTAATTAATGAATACCAAATAGTCCAAAATCATTCTATTAGGTTCATCTCTGTGTTGTGCATCCAAGATCATGTTAAAGTTTGACCTACTAAATCAAACTTATAATAATAACTTAAGTCATTACTTTTTAAAAATTGGGTTTATTCATTTATTATGGTAGCATAAACAGAAAAAACAAGTAGTTTCATTTATTTTATTAAATGTTAAAAAAAAACTGTAACTCTAAACATAAAAGTAAAGCATTCCTGTTGGATCATAACAAAATATCACAAAATAAAACAACTTCTTAAAAAATACTTACCCCATAACCTGGGTCGAGATTTGTGCATATATTGTAGATGATGTTGAAGTAAAAAACTGTGCTAAATTCTAGCTACCCACAAATACAGATGATAACACTTTTAGTTTTTTGTTCACAACTTTCAAATGAAGCATATTAGAAAAAAATTTTTGAAATGCAAAATTTAACACTTAAGAATTTTTTTTTGCACAATAAAGGAGTGGATAACCCCACTTGATAAATTTTCAGAGGTAATTTTCCCCTTTAAAAGTGTTCATGGGCACCTTGAATTTTGCACAGTTTCTTACTTTAGTATTCTCTACGATATATACTTGTACAAATCTCGACCCAGGTTGAGGTTACATTATCACAAATTTTAATCACATCACTTTAAAAAAACTAGAATGAAATCAAATATTTTTTCAATTATTTTTTTTTCAAAAACTAAACTGCCTCTTCTGAGTACCTGAGGTGGAGGCACTTTCATTATGTATTCATTTTCTTGGATCTCCCCCTGATCTTTAATGTCCGGAAACATAAAAGCATCCGGAATTTTTGGATTCCTTTTCAAAAAATCACAAAAAATAGGGTTAAGTGATAACACTTTACCAATGTAACATTTTTTGTTTTGTTTTTGAGTTGTTAATTGTACTCTAATATAATCGTCTATATTTAAGTCTGGTTTAGAACGATCAGTCTTACTATTTTCAGCCTTGAGATTCAAACGAGGATTCAAATCATCAGAATAATTGGAAGAATGCAAACTTTCGGTGTCCGTGCTGTCATCATATTCGATACTACTTGGGTTGTCTAAATCAGATGAGTCACTTGATATATTATAGCGTCTTTTTTGTTTTCCAATTTGGACTGGTTTTTGAATTTGAGATGCATCTTTATGTTGAAGCCAGGTATCTGTTTCTGAGTTAACTCTACTACTATTACATTTCTTATTTTGAATAAATGTTTCGAGACGATCCACACTGACGCGATCCTTTTCATTTTCTAACAGCCAGCAAAGTGAAGACTTTTTTATAACTTTTGTTGTATTATCTAAGCGTATTCTGACTAGATCACCTTTCTCAACAAAAATATCGTCACTATCAAAGCTTCTAAGATGTATGTCTCTGTCAAATTTCTTACATTCGTACGAAATTGTGCAAAGATCGCTCAGTAAATCTTCATATTGGTCAACTGGATCGTTTTCCAAACTTTGAAAACAGTTACGTTTCATGGCTATTTGAGAATTGTTGTAATTTTCAATGTGATCGCACTGTTCTTCAGTAAACATCTCATCTTCAACTTCGTCATTGCATTCATTGTCTTTACACGGAGACAAAAATACATAGTTAAAATCTATCACTTTCATCCCTAAATCTTCAGTGTCACGCAGACAATCCCGTGAAGCTGATTCTGCGGTGCTTTGTATATCTTTATCTGAAATGTTTCCTAAGTCATCATTTTTCACAAAATCTCTCTTCATGATTGAACTTTTTTTCCTGATTTCTCTAGGAAAAACGAATTTTTTATCCAAATCGTTTTTAATGTTGTTTATAGTTTGCAGTCTGTCACTTCGATGCAACATATCTCTTATACTAAAATTAACAATTGTGCTAAAAGTTGAGGTCATTGATCTAAGGCTTCTAAACATACTCTCACAAGCTAAACTTCCAAGGCAAGAACATATCATCAGTAAGATTTTTGCACGACCTGAACTTAATGAGTTTGGTACCTCATTTCACAAACTCAATTTTTAAAAACTAATTTGGAGTGAAATTATAAATTTGGTTTGTAGGTGTTACAGCTAATATCCGAAATACGTTATTATGCATAATAACTAGATATTTTAGGAATTATGCGTAATAACTAAACTTGTCAGTTATTATGCATAATAACCGGAAACATTAGGAATTATGCGTAATAACTGAATTTTTCAGTTATTATGCACAATAACGGAAACGTTTAGGTAATATTGATAATAACTAATAGAGGAACAGGAATTATGCATAATACCTGAAACATTAGTCATTAAGCATTTTGCCTAGTAGGCCAGAGCCGATAATTTTTGAGAACAAAAAAATTTAGAACAGGATGATACCCATTGGAAAAGGAAGAAAACATAACAAAAATAAAAGGAAAAATAATTTACGGGAGACCTGAGGTCGGGAAGTGGAAGAGGGTGAGCTTTTAGGGTAGAAAACGGTTTATCACGATTTCCGGCAAAACTACAAGTCCTATCGCAAAAAGTTAAATAGCAAAGTTCTAGGTAATAAAAGGGCCTACAGCTTTTGTGTTTAGACTTTTTTTACATAACCTCAAAATGTATGCGAAAAATGCAAATAACCGAGTTTTTGGTTTTTTATTTTTATCTCCCTACAAAAAAGTTTTTTTTTCACGGAATTTGGTGAAAACTTACCTATTCATGTCCCACACTCACTGTAATTTTTTTTATTCAAAATATTTATTTTTACCTATTATTTTGATTTAATATCGAAAAACCACCCTAATTTTCAATCGAAAATTCTCACGTCAAAATATTTGCTTTTTTAAAAAAATCGGTGTGCTTTTTGTTCATTGAAATCTCTACTTTCTAATAGTGTAAAAAAAAGTATACATTACTATGGCAAACTTTCATAGGAAATCCAAAAAAACGAAAAACTCGAATTCGAATTTTTTTTAATCATGTAAAATTTTGAGCTACTTATTAAAATTTACACTTTAATTACTCGAAAAAAGTAAGATTCATGAAACAAACGCCTTGTGTTGGTGGGAGATTGGTCAATATGAAAGATGATTTAATTCTTGCCAATTGATTTTCGAAATCTTAATTGATTCAGTGTTATATTGTCATTTTTACATTTATAAATATATGTATTTGATTAATTGTAATCAATTTTTTGCGATATCTTCTTTGTTTGCATGTTTTTTATAAAAAATATTGACCAATTTTGACAAATTTTTATCGTCTAACTAGCAGACGCAGCAAACGTTGTTTTGCCATATAAATTATTTCTAGTGAATATTTTAGTAGTTAAATAAAAAATTAAATCAAAATACATAAATAAATTATAATTAAATTAAATTATAAATTATACATAAAAAATTATCGTACGACAATGATTATATTCAACAGCCATCTTGAACCCTGCCTTGCATATCTGTGGATGACAGTAAAGATACTAATATCATTACTACAAAATGGGGGTTGGTCGTAGAAGGGTGAAAATTTAGGGTTATATACATATATTTTTTGAAGCCAAATCTTAAAAAAATATAAATAACAAATTTTGTCCCAAAAATAAAAAAAATAGGGGTATAAAAAATAGTTTACGACCTATTCTCAGATCTACCGAATATAGACAGAAAATTTCATAAAAATCAGTTGTATCGCAACCAGAAAAACAATACAGAAAAGGAACAATATTTTTGAAAGATTCACATTTGAAACTATTGGACGTGAAAAATAGATCTTTTACATTTCCAGAACCTGGTTTGAGAAAATAAATGTCATAATTATTTGAATTCAATTGATTCAAAAGGACCAAAATATCTTGAGCCACAACTATGACAGTTTTATTAGTATCTCTGGCAGTTTCTATCGAGATCTTAATTATGTCAGCATCAGCATCTTCTTCTGCTTGTTTACAGGAAGATCCTTGTGACTGTAGATTCCAAAAGTTTCTTTTAAATAAGTCAATTTGTCACGATTCTCTTCAAGTAACTCAGCCTGCACGTGTATTTTTATAGACGATGCTGTTCATTCTTCTGATGGGCTAAAATTTTCCGTAGGCCATTCAGGTATGCAAGTTATCTTAAAATAGCAATGAATAGGCATCTATGCATATAATTTAAAAATTATCCTACAACTTTAACAAAATATTGTAGATGTCTTATAAAGTATTAACTGTATTAACTTATTTGGTTGCTAATTATATACTATATTTCGATTTGCAATTTTTTAATTTATCAATGTAACATGGAACATTACGTTTTTCGAGTAATTAACGTGTACATTTTAATAAATAGCTCCAAATTTTACATAATAATAAAAAAACAAATTTTTGAATTCGAGTTTTTTTGTTTTTTTTGCATTTCCTGTGAAAATTTGCCATAATAATGTATAATTTTTTTTACACCTTCAGAAAGTAGAAATTTCAGCGAACAAAAAGCACACCGATTTTTTTAAAAAAGCAAATATTTTGACGTGAGAATTTTCGATTGAAAATTAGAGTGGTTTTTCGACATTGAATCAAAATAAGGGAAAAAAATAAATATTTTGAATCAAAAAAATTACAGTGAGTTTGGGACATAAATAGGTAAATTTCGTTAAAAAAAATGTGTGGGATATAAAAATAAAAAACCAAAAACTCGATTATTTGTATTTTTCGCATAAATTTTGAGGTTATGTAAAGAAAATGTGAAGACAAAAGTTGTAGATCTTTTTATTACCTACAACTTTGCTATTTAACTTTTTGCGATAGGACTTGTAGTTTTGCCGGAAATCGTGATAAACCGTTTCTACCCTTAAAAGCTCACCCTCTTCCCCTTCCGCACCTCAGACCGCCCGTAATTTATTTTTCCCTTTATTTTTGTTATATTTTCTTCCTTTTCCAATGGGTATCATCCTGTTCTAATTTTTTTTCACCCTTTACCATTTTCAAAGACTTCGGCACTGGCCTGTAACATGTCCAGCTGATTTCAAAAAAACGAGACAAGATGAGCAATTCAGGTTCTCATGGATCAATGAAAAGCAATGGGAATATGACTTTATATAACTGTAATTTGTCCCTTTTTTTTAAATCAACTGTACATGTGATATGTAGGGGAAAGTGAGGCAGGATGGGTAGCTTTTTGGAAAATATTATGCATAATTCCTGTTCCTCTGTTAGTTATTATCAATATTACCTAAAAGTTTCCGTTATTATGCATAATAACTGAAAATTTCAGTTATTACGCATAATTCCTAATGTTTCCGGTTATTATGCATAATAACTGATAAGTTTAGTTATTACGCATAATTCCTAAAATGTCTAGTTATTATGCATAATAACGGATTTCGGATATTAGCTGTAACGTAGGTATAAAGCAATATAATGTATCATTTCTCATCGGAACTGCACTTGATTAACTACAACTTTAATATTTGTCAAGCTGAAATATCATGCTGTCAGTTAATGATATTATACTGGAATTTTCTACCATTATGCCCTTAAAAGGTTATTTAATCTCCACTTTTAAGGTTAAATTGATATTTTCTTTATTATGATGAATGCTATGACTTATGTCGTACATGTTACGTTTATTAATTCTAGAAAATATCTAGTTTACCTAAATGGATTTGCTATGATGATTTTGGATTTCCTTTGTTTTCTTGTTGATTTCTCGTTAATTTCTCATTGATTTCCTCTTGATTTCCTCTTGATTTCCTTTTGATTTCTTTTGATTTCCTTTGATTTCCTGTGATTTACTGTGATTGCCTGTGATTTCCTGTGATTTCCTTTGATTTCCTCTGATTCCCTTTTTGATTTCCTGTGATTTCCTTTGATTTCCTCTAGCGTGTACAATTGATTTCCTCTGCGGTTTACCCCTCGCATTTTCCGTTAAGAATTTGCCATAAGCTTTTTTCAGTAATTTACATACTCTTTTGCGACGATTTCTAATACTACCATGAGTCAATAACGGCACGATATCACTTAACATTGAACAAACACCTTGTACATCGTTAGTATATTTATAAACTAAATTCAGAGTGTCTCTTTCACCTGTACTTTCGTCCATAAATTCAACAGCTTGAGTAAAATTCAAAGGATAATGACGGTCCAGGTTGTCAATTAAATGTTTTACCGGCAACAAAAGTTCAGGAGTAGGTGTCAAACTTTCGGTAGAATCAGAAGCTCTAATTTTTTTAACCTGTCTTTCAGCAAGGGAAGAATCATTATTATCATCGGAAGACTTAACCGAAAAATCTAATGGATTATCTTCAACAAATGCATCGTCAGTTGTTTGTCGTTTGTTACAGCAGCTACGCCATTTTCAGCTATAGCTATATACAATTTGTTTCATTGTATTTTAAGGACAAGGGAAAGTCTCTCCAAATTACTTTAGACCAATTTTTTCATTCACTTCTTCTGAAGCAGCTTTTCCACAGAGGTTGCACAGAAATCGATTATTCATATTCAACGCAGACGTCGAACGGGATCAAGGTGACACGACGAGACGATCCTGACCTTTCTCTTTTACCCTATCCTTGCGTATACCCTCTTGTTTAACATACCAATGAAGGGTGTGTAATTGATCTAATTTTGTTCAATAGAGCAAAATCTAGGCCGAGTGCACCGTAATGACAAGCGGGAACACTCCCTGTTTCCTAGGTGATCTAAGCATCTAGCTAAGTATTTAAAATCAATAATTTAAACCAGACGCTGCAGAAATGCATTCATTCAGCCTTGACACCTGTTGTCCAACGCACTGTGATGTGTCTGTGAATAAACTTTGAAGAAGTGAGAATTTTAGTTAATGAATACTGTCGCTAATTTCATACACTATTTTTATTAAGGTAAGTTCGAACACTACCAGGTTTTATAAACAAATAATGATAACAATAAATCAAGTTATTAAATAGTGAATAGTCATTTTGAACATGATGACTATCGTTCAAAAAAGGTATTAGGTGTAATAGCGTAAAGTGTTGGTTGCTGAAATGTCAACAGACCTGCATGTTTTAAAGTCCCTGGAACTCGCTTTCTTAAAGATAATGTAGTGTTCAAATCAAACTCCAGTAGCGCGCCATAAATTATTGTTGTTAATGTTGTTTACTTTTCAGGCAACGAAAGTTCCTGAAACTCAAGTAAAAATGGCTCACTGTCCGCCCGGAATCACTTGTCTCTCGGAACCAGAGTCGTCCGGAAACGACTCATCAGAATCTATATGTCACAAGAAAATGGTCACTGTGAAGGACGCACGATCTAGCAAACCTAAACGTACAATGAAGAAAAGCAAACCTATTCGAACCAACCTCAACTTAAACGAAGAGTTCCAGAAGTGCAGGAACGAAGGTTTGAAACGTCTGGATCTAAGTAGATCTAACATCACGCAGTTGCCCTCCACAGTCAAAGACCTCTTGCATTTGTCAGAATTGTACTTATACGGGAACAAATTGACTCATTTACCAGCGGAAGTCGGTTGCTTAATGAACCTCCAAACATTGGCTTTAAACGAAAATTCCTTAACAAGTCTACCGGATTCGCTAGTACATTTGAAAACGCTTAAAGTACTGGATTTGAGACACAACAAGCTTAATAACATACCCAAAGTTGTGTATCAAATTCCGTCTCTGACTACCTTGTACTTGCGATTTAATCGCATTAGATACATAGATGACGATATTAGATTTTTGACTTCACTTATCATGCTGAGTTTGCGCGAAAACAAAATCAGAGAATTACCAGCCGGTATTGGCAGGTTAGTTAATCTTGTCACGTTTGATGTGTCTCACAATCATCTTGAACATTTGCCGCAAGAAATCGGTCTGTGTGTAAATCTTTCTACCTTGGATTTACAGCACAATGAACTGTTAGATATACCTTCCTCTGTTGGGAAACTGCGGCAGCTGAATCGTCTCGGTTTGAGATATAATCGGCTGACGTCCATTCCTTCCACTTTGCGCGACTGTAAACTTTTGGATGAATTTAACATTGAAGGGAATTCGGTGTCCCAGCTACCTGAAGGTATGCTTTCGAAGCTTACAGCGTTAACAAGCGTTACTCTGTCAAGGAACAACTTCCTAGCTTTTCCTTCCAGAGATCCGTTCCAGTTTGTCAACGTGGATTCGATTAATTTTGAAAACAATAAAATCGATAAAATACCTTACGGGATTTTCTCTCGAGCTAAATATCTGTCTAAATTTAGTATAAAAGATAACTATCTCACAGCATTACCTTTAGATGTTGGTTCCTGGACTACCATGGTGGAACTAAATTTAAGTACAAATCATATACAAAAAGTACCTGATGCTATTCAGTCACTCAAATCGCTGGAAGTTCTAATATTATCAAACAACGTTTTAAAAAGCATTCCTTCAAGTATTGGATATCTTACAAAATTGAGAATTTTAGACTTGGAAGAAAACCAATTACTAGAACTGCCGAGTGAAATAGGGTATCTGCGAGATCTTCAAAGACTGATGTTACAAAGTAACCAACTGATTTCCCTGCCTAGAGCCATAGGTCATTTAACTAATTTGGTTTATCTTAGTGTTGGAGAAAATGCTTTATGTTCGTTACCCGAAGAAATTGCGACTCTAGATAGTTTAGAAACTTTGTATCTTAACGACAATTCGTTGCTACATCAGTTACCATACGAACTAGTACTGTGCTCAAATTTACAAATAATGAATATCGAGAACTGTCCCTTGTCTAGAATCCCCAGCGAAATTGTAGCAGGAGGACCATCCCTTGTGATACAGTATTTGAGAACGCAAGGGCCTTATTGGAACGCCTAATTAAGTTTAATTAATGTGAATTAGGGAAGTTTAAATAGCTTCTAGTTTTAATACAATAATAAGTAAAATTATTTTTTTAATTTTAGAGTTATATATTATAAAAAGAAAATGGTAGCAGTTTTTATATCGCTGTTGAGTCAACAATTATAATGTGTGATAAATTTTTTGTTTCCTCTAAGATTTCTCAAGAGGTTTAATTTTTATAATTTATTATTTGAACAAAAACGTTCGTTTTAGCTAAAATTAAAAAAATTCGAATAATAACAACAGAGATTATCACAAAACGATGGACGGGACAGTTTTTCAAAATTGGGTTAATCTACTTATTCTTGCTTTGAACAAGTTGCAACAAGAATATCTCGTGGTAATGGACAATGCACACAAATTTTTACAAATGTAATGCACCTAGCATCAGTTTTCCACCAGTATGTCTTCCATTAACGATTAGTTACTAGTATTATTAGTATTACATTCGCTTTTTAGTTAAAACGTTATTTTTAAGATTTATTTACTTGAATATTCAGTAAAATCATGAAGTTCTGAATATTTAATTAATTAGTTTAATAATAGTGTTTTTTGACGATATTTAAGAGGTTAGATTTCTGACACAATCCTTAATTTAATTAAGTAACAGATGATGACAATCCAAATCGACTTAAAGAATGTCGTCTTTCTTAAGAAATTTTAGCTTACTCACAACCAAGTTGTTAGATTTTCATAGCCAAAATAATCATGAATGCATTATAGCCCTTGGAACTGCTTTGAATATAATTTTAATGTAATTGGTTACGCTATTTAAGCTATTTTCCAGTATTAAATACGTTACAACCATCGTAATACTGTAGAAAACATTATAATACCTACAGCGGATGTTCAATTAAAAGAGGCATCAAGTTAGCGTTGCATTTTTTGATAAACGAAAACGTAGCGGAAAACGTATGCGTTTTATTAATCTACATTGTTGTACGCAATTGACATTTTCGTGTTGTCAGCTGTCATCGATTAAATTTTAGGTTTATTACAGACGTACTTCACAATGTTTACAATAAATCAAGGCCAACTTGATGATGAAATTGAAAGCCTATTTTAAGAATAACGAAAAAAAAATATTTTGGTGCCCGCAATAAGACACGAAATTTCTACTGACCTAGCGCTAATTATGATATAACTTATAAGTTCGTCATAGGTTGTTTTCGTTTTTTAAGATTAACTTTAGTTTCACAGTTTGGAAGCAGACTACATAACATGTTACTGGATAAATTGTGTAATTGTTAAAGATCGTTTTAGTCAATATGAAATCAGTATATTATTGGAAATACCTATATAAAAATTTTCTTAATTTTGGATTTTAATAGACAAAAGGGGTCAAACAGTGGCGTTTACCTACTACTTTCTCGTTTCATAAATTAGTTGTTTACGAATCTACCTCATTTATCTACGCTTGAAAACTAAATTACGTTACGGCGGGATTTTTTAAAACTATTAAGTAACTGGACAAAAGAAAATAATGACGTTTTATGAAAATCAACTGTACAAAACTAACGGAATTTTAAGAAATATGTACAACGACGTGAATACGAAAAAAGTGGGTCCAAAATAGAGAAAGATGCCAAAAATAGGACATCATCAGAACAAAGCAGCAAAATTGACGAAATTTCACAGCCAACTTGAAGTTCGTATAATCACGTTCTAGAATCAGTTTTATAGTCAATTAAATTTGTGATCGTGGGTGACCATAAAACAAATAAACTTTGCTTTCACACAGTTTGTACAAGTATAGATATTCATATTGTTACGATTGACGGGCGAATAATAAATCGGGCGTTGGTAAAACTCAAAAATTTATTTCTTCAGGTCGAATTACAACACTATCTATTGCGACGAATATGTACAGAAATTATTTCGGCGCTCTCGACTGTCTTCACTGGATGAATGAATCCATTACCTACGGCCGCCTCTATTTAAACCCATAGTCTCTGATCGAGATCCTTCACGAACATCCATCGCGACTCCGCTTCGAGACTCCCCTGGACGCCGCTTCGAGACGCTCCAGACCTGTCTTTATGCGCCCGCCTCTCGGCCGTCAACAGCGATGATTCACCCATCAGCGCCGTGCGTACGTCCAGAAGGCTCTCGACCGCCATAGGCGTCGTACTGGGGCGGCGTAAGGGTGTATTTCGTAACACTGCCCCCCTCTTCAAATCCGATCGTCCCGATCGGAAGCGTCTTCGTTGTTTCCTTCGTACCGTTTTAGTCGATCGAGATGAACGATCTTCATCTTCGTCTTTGGTCCACGTTGGATCCGATAAACTACGTCATTTATTCTAGTGACGATAGTGTATGGACCTTCCCAGTCAGGAGCCAGTTTTGGGCAACGTCCCTTCTTCCGTCGGGGGTTATACAGCCACACTAAGTCATCTTCCTGGAATCCGCCACAGTTGGCCTTCACATCATAACGGGTCTTCATTCGGTCACTGGCAATCTTGATCCGGCCCCTCACTAGTTCATGCACGTTGACCAACTTCTCTTTCAGTTCGTCCACGTAGTCACGTACTTCCATTGGTTCTTCGGATGGCAATCCAAAGACTAGGTCACAGGGCAGCCGCAGTTCCTTCCCAAATACAACGTGAGCAGGTGTTTGGCCCGTGGTGTCGTGGATAGCTGCGCGGTAGGCCAGCAGGAATAGTGGAAGGTGCTGGTCCCAATCCCTTTGGTGCTCTTCTACCACTTTCGAAAGGTGTTGCTCCATAGTCCGATTGAACCTTTCCACCATGCCGTCGGACTGTGGGTGTAGTGGCGTTGTCCTTGTCTTACGTATTCCCAGTAGCTGCATCACTCTTTGGAAGACGTTGGATTCGAAATTGCGTCCCTGGTCTGAGTGAAGTTCCAAGGGGACGCCAAACCTACTGATCCAATTGTCAACCAGTACTTTCGCGACCGTGACGGCTTCCTGATTTGGAATGGCATAGGCATCTGGCCACTTGCTGAAGTAGTCGCTAGCCACCAGGATAAACTTGTTGCCGTCGTTTGTTACAGGGAACGGACCGGCCACATCGATGGCGATTCTTTCGAAAGGTGCCCCAACATTATATTTCTTCATCTTTCCCCTCGCCCTGGTATGAGGACCTTGGCTGGCCGCACACGTCGTACACTTGCGACACCAACTTTCGACATCGTCACGATGACCTACCCAATAAAACCTCTCCCGGATTTTCGACAAAGTTTTGTTCACTCCGAAGTGGGCTCCAGATGTTCCGGCATGAACTTCCTCTAAGACCTTGGAAACCTTTACCTTGGGGAGGACCAGCATCGTCTTAGAGGTACGCCCATCAGGACTCTCCCACTTTCGCTTCAAGAGCCCATTTTCCATGACCAAGGAATCCCATTGGGCCCATAATGCCTTCAAACTGGGGGATTGGTCGGACAATTCTGCCCAGCCGGGTCGTTCGACTCCTTCCTCCTTCCACTTTAGTATTGGTCCGATTATGTCGTCTGCTTCTTGCTCACGCTTTAACCGCGCCGTTGTCCATTCTTCATCTTGCTCAAAAATCGTCCGACGAACGGGCAGGTTCCCTTCTTCCGCGTCGATCCTCTCGCAGTGCTTGCACTCTCCACACGGACGCCTTGACAAAGCGTCAGCGTTGTTGTGAAGTCGACCCGCTCGGTGTTTGATCCTAAAGTGGTACTGCTGTAGTCTTTCCAGCCAACGCGCTACTTGGCCCTCGGGATTCTTTATCCGCAGTAGCCACGAGAGGGCAGCGTGGTCGGTCCTGATCAGAAACTCCTGTCCGTATAGATACTTGTGGAAGTGGTTGACGGCTTTGACAATGGCTAGCAGTTCCTTCCTTGTGGCACAGTAATTTCTTTCTGGCTTGGAATGTAATTTGCTAAAATATTCGATAACCCTTTCCTCCCCATCTTGTATCTGCGACAATACGGCCCCAACTCCCGAGTTACTCGCATCGGTATCGAGGACGAACATTCCTTTGTCCCTGGGGTAAGCCAAAATGGGGCTGGTGCACAAAGCCGTCTTCAGTCTTTTAAAGGCCATCTCACATGTACTGCTCCACTTGAAAGTCGCCTTCTGCTCCGTCAGTTGGTGTAACGGTGCTGCGATGTCGGCATACCCTTCTACAAATCGTCGGTAATATGTGCAGAGTCCCAAGAAGCTTCGTAGTTCATGCTTGTCTCTTGGTATGGGCCAATCCCGGATAGCAAGAACTTTCGTCGGGTTGGTTTCTATTCCTTTCTCCGACACGATATGGCCCAGGAATTCGACTCTTTTCTGGAAGAGCGAGCATTTCTTGGGATTTAGTTTCAAACGAGCCTTTTCCATTCGTTCTAGCACCTCCTCGAGATTCTTCAGATGGTCGTCAAACGTTTTGCCCATAATCATGACGTCGTCGAGGTATACCAGACAGGTCTTCCATGTCAATCCTTTTAGCACCATCTCCATCAGCCGCTCGAATGTTGCTGGCGCATTACATAACCCGAAGGGCATAACGGTGAAGTGATAGAGGCCACTTCCGGTGGAGAACGCAGTCTTTTCTTTGTCGTCCGGGTGCAAGCCTACTTGCCAGTAGCCACTCTTCAAGTCCAAGGTCGAAAACCACGCCGAGCCGGATAAGGTCGTCAAGGTATCGTCTATTCGAGGAAGGGGGTAACTGTCTTTCTTCGTGACGTCGTTCAGTTTCCTGTAATCGACGCAAAATCGGGTAGTCCCGTCCTTCTTGGTAACCAAGACTACTGGAGATGACCACGCGCTGTTGGATTCTTCAATTACCCCATCTCTCAACATGTTGTCCACGAGTCTTGTAGCTTCTTCTTGTTTGGCTAGGGGTAGTCTTCGAGGAGCCTGACGGATCGGTTGCGTGTCACCAGTGTTTATTCGGTGTTCTACGATGTTGGTCTTCCCGAATGGTTCCTCCTCTGAGGCGAAGACATTACGGTGCCTACGAATGAGTCCTTTGGCCAGTTTTCTCTCACGAGCAGACAGCTGGTCCCAGTTGACCTCCAAGCCTTTGGTATCCCCGTCCTTAGACTCATTCTCAACGTCTTCTTCCTCGCAGTTCAACACTCGGGCGACTGGCTCACACATTCCAATAATCTCCCCTTTTCTAATATTGACTGCATTGGGAAACACGTTTGCCACACGTATGGGTATGTCACGGTCGGTTTTGACTAGGGTGCTCGCGATCAGGAGCTTGTGGGTCGAGTCACTTGCCGGCTGCACCATCCCCAAACTGTATCCGGGGTTTGTCTCTACTCTGGCGGGAACGATGACTTCTGCATTACCATCTACCTTCGTTGTCTGACAGACCACTAGTCTGACCGTTGCAGCTTCCACATTCGGACGTCCCAGCACAAATTCTTCGGCTCCAAAACGCAGAATTTTCTGTTCTGGATCGATCATTAAACCATACCGGCTGATTAGGTCCATTCCCAGAATGAAATCGTCAGCGATTTCCGCCACCA